ATGACAAACAAACAAAAATATCTTTTCTTGCCATCACCTTATGGGCCTTGATTGTGATCAAGGGAGCAGTAAAGGCTCCCTTCCCACATTCCAACATGTAAATCCAGCTAGCCAATCAAAGTACCTCATCCCCCGGAAAAAGGGGTTGGTCCAGGGCTGGACATGTAATCCAAGCAGAAGCTATAGATGCCCTCTCTCGGTAATCCTGGGCACTGGAACATATCTCTGTGTGGGGAAAAGAAATCTATGAAGTCAACACAGAGAAAAGCAAGACTAAGAGATAGAGAGAAAGAGTCCTGATGACAGTGTTTAAATCCCTGAATTCTGCGGCACCGAGATGTGTAGTCCTCCGGGGTCCTAGACTGGCCCGCAGACGTGGCCGGCTGGTGCCACGCTGGGTCTCGCGTAAGTCCTATCCTCGAGGGTCCTGTCCCGCGCAGGTGCACGTCTGTGCAGGGGAGACACCAGAGCCCGTGGGAGGCGGCCTAGGGAGCGCGGGGTGGTGGGGTCGAAAGGGGGTAGGCGGCCGCCTCCTTGGGGAGCCGCCGCAAGTGACCGCCGGCGGGGCGCGGTGTCCAAGACGTTGGCTCCGCGCCGGGGTGAGGAGCAGGAGCCGCGCGATGGCGGCGTGGAAGGGGCCCCAGTGGAGCGGGAGGCTGGGGTGGCCTCGCTGCGTTCACAGAGCTGGGGACCCCAGCACCCGGGCCCCCCCGCCCCCGGGAAGCGGGATGGAGAGCAGATCTCCCGAGGCAGGAGGCGGACCCCTCTTTTCTCCAAGTGGGAAGAGGCTGGGGCCTCCGGATATGGGTGCCTGATGCGTGGCGCTGGGCCTTCCCCCTCTTCGGGGTCTCGGTGTGCCCCGCCCACGGCCCTCCCCCCGCGCCCCCTAGTATGTTCCAGTTTCTTCCTGTGGGTTTCGCAGACTGCATCTCCCCCAGAATCACCCTCAGGTGTAAATTGACCCCATTCCGTGCCCAGCGCTGTGGCAGTCACGTTTGTAGGGGTAACTTAATGTACGAGATCTGGTTCCTACGCTCCCGTTGGGGAGACTAAACTGAAGGACGGTAATAAACTGTATGGTTCAGACATGTGCTAATATTTGACCTAAAATATTCGCACTGTTGGAGTTCAGAGGAGGGAGGGCTTTAGGCTGGTCTCTTCCTTGCAAAGGTCTGCGTGCATATCCTTTTAGGAGTAGCTCCAACAGTCATTTTCTTTGGGAAGCCTTCCAGGATTGCCACCTCCCTACCTCCATCCTTAGGTTTTTCATCTTTTTTAGTTTATTTAACTAGTGCTTGCTTTGTGTCTAATTCATAAGCACTTAATACCTTGTTTCAGGTGTGGGGGGGGGGGCGGGGGGGGCTGTTGTCTTCCAAGCCCCTCTTCAGGCAGGGACTCGATAGTTGTTTAGCAAAACCTAATGCATACACAAGAATATGAATTAAAAAGGATTGAAATGGTTAGAAGGTACTAACTGAGCTGAGCCTGCAAACAGTGGAAAGTAATTATGTAAGTCAGAGGTTGAAAAATGATGGCCCCCCTGGCCTGTAGATACATTTTCATAGCTCATGCTGTTTGTTTTTATTTAATTAGTGGCCAAAACTTTAAATCAGGCCATTTCTTTCACATCCACTCACACAAAAATCTAGATTTTTCAGTATTTCTTGAAAAATCAGATGTGGCCAAACAGGGCCCACATGCCTACATGTTGCTATTAGCAGGAGTTGAGTAGCAATTCACTCCTTTAGACTCTATAAAATGTCCAAATCCCCCGTCCCCACTAAATCCATTGTCTCCCTGACACTGAAGCAAAGTGTCAGTTGTCATTTATCTTCTAGTTTGCTTCATTCCTGATTAACTGCCTGGCCTCTTGCAGCCATTTGAGTTCCTAATTCCAGATGTAGATAGAGGTGAGTAGAAAGGGTATCACAAGTAGGAGAGTCATGGGCAAACAGATGGAATGGGGAGAAGCATAGTATATGGGAAAATTAGGATTCTAGAGCATAGGTTTGTTTTTAGGTGAATTATAGAGTAGAGCTATTGTTGTGGGTTGAATTGTGTCCCTCCCCCAAAAAATATATTTGAGGTCCTAATCCCCAGTACCTTAGAAAGTGATCTTATTTGGAAATAGGGTTGTTGCAATGTAAATGGTAAGATGATGTGAATTAGGGGAATAGAATGGGCCCCTAATTCAATGTGACTGGTGTCCTTTCAGGAAGATGGCCATGTGAAGGGACAGACACAAGGAGAGCCCCATGAAGATTGGTGATGCATCTACAAAGCCAGGAACACAAGGATTGCCAGCTGTCACCAGAAGCTAGCTGGGTGCGAGGCATGGGACAGTTGTCCCTCAGGGCCTGCAGAAGGAAGCCACCCTGCCAGCTTCTTCATTTCAGACTTCTAGCCTCCAGAACTGTGAGAATACATTTCTGTTGTTTTAAGCCTCCCAATTTGTGGGACTTTGTTATGACAGCCCTAGGATGCTAACACGGCGTTGTAAGTAAAAAAAAAAAGAGGCTATTGTTTCCTTTAATAGATGATAGAAAATTCATGGTAGACTTTTTATCATTGGTGTCAGGGGAAGCAGTGTTTTAGAAAATTGTTTGTTCCGACAGTGTTACCAGTATATGATTTTTATCCTCCATTTTATGTGGTATGTCAAGTTTATTGATTTGCAGATATTGTAGCAACCTTGCATCTCCTGAGTAAATCCCACTTAATTATAGTGTATGATCGTTCTTTTAATGTATTGCTGGACCTGGTTTGCTAGTATTTTTTGAGAATTTTAGCATATATATTCATCAGGGATATTGACCTATAATTTTCTTTCTTTGTAGTATCTATCTGGTTTTGCAATTAAGATAATGCTGGCCTTGTAAAGTATTAGCAAGCTTGCGTGTCTTCCCTCCTCTTGAACTTTTTGGAATAGTTTGAGAAGGATAGCTGTTAGTTCCTTGAATGTTTGGTACAATTCACCTATGAAGCCATCCAGTCCAGGACTATTGTTTGTAGGAAGTTTATTATTATTATTATTATTATTATTACTTCCATTTCATTAGTTGTAATCTGTCTGTTCAGATTTTCTGATTCAGTTTTGGAAGATTGTATGTTTCTAGGAATTTATCCATTTCATTCAGATTGTTCAATTTGTTGACATATAATTGTTTGTAGTATTTTCTTACAGTTCCTTGTATTTCTGTGGAGTCAGTTGTTACTTTTCCTTTTGCGTTTCTGATTTTATTTATTTGGGTCCTTTCTCTTTTTTTCTTGATGAGTCTGGTTAAAGATTTGTCAATCTTATCTTTTCAAAGAACCAGCTCTTGGTTTCATTGATTTTTTTTAAGACTCTATTTTGTTTATTTCTGCTCTGATCTTTATTATTCCTTTCTTCTACTTTGGGATTTGTTTGTTGTTCTTTTCCTAGTTCCTTTATGTGTAAAGTTAGATTGTTTGAGATTTTTCTTGTTTCTTGAGGTAGGCATGTAATGCTGTGATTTTCTTTCTTTCTTTTTTAAAATATATTTTTATTGATTTCAGAGAGGGAGAGGGAGAGATAGAAACATTAATGATGAGAGAGAATCATTGATTGGCTGCCTCCTGCACAACCCCATGGAGCCCACAACCTGGGCATGTGCCCTTGACCGGAATCGAACCCGGGACCCTTCAATCCACAGGCCGACACTCTCTCCACTGAGCCAAACCGGCTAGGGCTGTGATTTTCTTTCTTAGGACTGCTTTCTCTGTGCACCATAGGTTTGGGGTTATGTTCTCACTTTCAGCTGTTTCAAGGTACCTTTTGATTTCTTCCTTGATCTTGTTGTTAACCCATTCATTGTCTAGTAACATGTTACTTAGCCTCCATGTCTCTGTGTGTTTTTCAGTTTTTCTCTTGTGATTGATTTCTAGTTTCATACCATTATGGTCAGAGAAGATGCTTGATGTGATTTCAATCTTCTTAAATTTATTGGGACTTGTTTTGTGGCCTAACATGTAGTCTGTCCTAGAAAATGTTCCATGTGCACTTGGAAAGAATGCATATTCTGCTGTTTTGGGGTGAAATGCTCTGAGGTTAGTGTGTCATTTAAGGCCACTGTTTCCTTGTCTTGAAGATCTATCCATTGGTGTAAATAAGGTGTTAAAATCCCCTACTCTGAAAGGTCAGCAAAAGGCCCAAGGCACCCAGAGATCTGCCAGATGTTATGGGGATACCTCTTTCCAGCTCTGGTGTGCTGGGCTTAGAAGCTCAGTGTGGGATTGAGACCCCATGCTCCTCAGGGGGAACCTTTGCAGATGATATCCCTCTGGAATCTCAGCCACAATCCATGGGAGCAGGGCCAGTCCTTTTCACATCTCCATCCTTCCTACCAGTCTCAATATGGCTTCTTCTATAAATCCTTGGTTTTGCTTTGCTTATGCTACTGGATCTGGACCATTTCTCCTTTGCCAGCTGGCACAAGATTTAGATTTTTGCCAATAGAGGATGTTGGAGGGATAATGCAAGCCCATTGTAAAAGAAAGGGCCCTAGCCAGGTGTGGCTCAGTTGGTTGGAGCACCGTCCATACACTAAAAGATGGTGGTTCACTTTCCAGTCATGTAAGTATGACTACTTACAGAACAGGTTGCGGATTTGATCCCCTGTCAGGGCATGTGTGGGAGGCAACCAATCGATGTTTCTCTCTCACGTCGACATTTCTCTCTCTCTCTTCCTCTCTGTAAAAAAACAAATAGAAAGAAAAGAAAAAGAAAGGAACTTCTCTTACTGGTGCTTTTTTATTATACACAGGATCCAGCAAATTTCTATCCCTTCAAATAGGCCACTGCCTGAGAACCAACTCCAGACTGCCCACCTCCTCCAGTGAATTTTCCCACCACCCTAAAGACCACTCCAGCCTGCGCCTGACACATTTCTTCTCTGCCAGTAGGGTGCATGTTCCTGTGGTAATCACAGTCCCTCTAAAAAGGTCTGAGTCTGGGCCCTCTGGTGTAGAGTCCTCCTCTAGTTTCTTTGTTCCTCCCTCTTAAACTTCCCAGCATAGTAAGAGATGATTTGTGTATTTTAGAAATTATATTATGGCCTACTTATCATTTCAGATTCTGAGACCAGGAATAAGATGAAGGACCGGAAGGCAAAGATGAAAATTTCTGAAGAAAAAGATTCAGCAAGGGTTGTATCAGGAAGACTCCAAAGACAGATCTCCCAGGAATGTGGGTTAGTTGAAACCAGTGACCTAGAACACAGGTCATTGAGGCATTGGGTTAAGCCCCTTAGGGGATACAGCGAGACAGCCCACTTCCCAAGAGAGAGGTATTAGGAAAGTAAATCTCATTACTAAGGAAGCTGTTGCAGGAGAGAGGGGCTGTGAATGTAATGAAGGAGGAAAAATACTTTCTGCCAGAGGAAGATCCCACAGATATGAGGTCTGTGGACAGAGCTTCAAACAGAAATCAGAAGTAACTGAACATGAGAAAATTGATAATATCAAGAAAACCTATGATGTAAGGAGTGTGAAAAAACTTTTAATCAGGGCTCATACAGGAAAGAAACCTTATATATACATGAATGTGGGAAAGACTTCAATCAGAGCTCTAAGCTGGTTAGACAGAAGAGAATCTACAGTGGCGAGAATCCCTATGAATGTAAAGAGTGTGAGAAGACCTTCAAGATATGTAATGAGTGTGGGAAGGTCTTTAATCAAAGCTCAGATCTTACAATACATCACAGAATTCACACAGGAGAGAAACCCTATGAATGTTTTGAATGTGGACAAACCTTCAGTCAAAGTCACACCTTGTCACACATCAGCAAATTCATTCTGGAGAGAAACCAAGTGTAATTAATGTGAAAAAGGCCTTACAGCAGTGTTCAGACCTTACTGAACACTAGACTCCACAATGGAGAGAAACACCATGAATGTTGTGAATGTGGGAAATCCTTCAGTGGGTACACAGCTTTCCTGAAACACCAGAGACTGCATACTGGAAAGAAAGAAACTTGAATGTGAAGAAGCCTGCACTTCTGGCTTGGACCTTATCAAACAACAGAGAATTCATAGGGAAGAAAAACCTTTGTAACGTACTGAATGTGGAAAAACTTTCTGGGGAAATTCAGATCTAATTTGGCATTGGATAATTCATACTGGAGAGAAACCCTATGAGTGCAGTGAATGTGAGAAAGCCTTTAGCCAGAGGTCTTACTTTGTTACACATCAGAAAATTTATACTGGAGAGAACCCCTATCAGTGCAAAGAATGTGGGAAAGTCTTCCGGCAGCTTTCACTCCTTAATCAACATCTGAGAATCCACAATGGTGAGAAACCCTATGAATGTAAGGAATGTGGAAAACCATTCATCCAGCACACAGCTTTTCTCAAACATCAGAGACTTCATACTGGAGAGAAAGTTAAAGAAAGTGAGAAAACATTCAGCAAGGATGAGTTGTTTAGAGAAGAGCAAAGAATTCACCAAGAAGAGAAAGCTTATCAGGTGGTAGAACTTTCCAAGGCAGCTCAGACCTCATCACTCATCATTTAACTCATATGGGAGAGAAACCATATGAATGTAAAGAATGTGGGGAAACTTTCCATCAGGGCTCAGACCTTATGAAACATCATAGAATTAACAGTGGAGAAAAACTTACATTCAGCTCGGATCTTATTAAACACTATTGTGTTCATACTGGAGAGAAATCCTATGGGTGCCTTGATTGTGGGAAGGCCTTCAATCAGAACTCGCACTTTATTTAGTCACCAGAGAATTCACACTGGAGAGAAACTCTTTGAATGTCGCAGATGTGGGAAGGCCTTTAGTGAGCACACAGCTCTTAAACATCAGAAACTTCACACTGGAAAGGAACCTGGGGAATGTGAAAGAATCTTCAAGCAGGACTTATTCTGTAGGTAACAGAAACCTAATGAATGTAGAAAAAGCCTGGTAGAGACCATATCTTATTGCACTATAGAGGATTTTTATTAATGAAAACCATTTGAAGAAAGGAAAACATTAGAAGAATCCTACTAGATGGAAAACATATAAGTGTGATCAGATGGTAAGTTCTTGGACATAATAGCCTTTTCTGCCTCAGAATTGACACTGGAGTATGGTCCCCAGGATGTAATTGCTTCAGAATGTCTTAGGAAACTTCTATCATTATTAAAACCAGTAGAAATTACTTTAGCAAAACCTTAAAACTAAATTCTTCATGAAAGGAGCCATTTGAAAACTAACCTTTTCATTTCATCCCTGATAGAGCTTGTACTATATTGAATGTATTGGACTTTTGAAAGCAGAGGGAGATTTTTGTTACAGTATGGAAATGCTTTCAACTGTAAATGTTAAAATGAAATAAATGCACGAAATAATTATTGAGTGCCTAATATGTGCCGTGGGCCATAGTTTGATAGGGCTAGAGAAATACAGTTCTTCCAGGAGCTTACAATGCAGTGGCAGCTGAGGGAGGGCAAGATTTAATCTGCAGATAAGTGGACAATTTGTGAAATGAAGATCCATCCAAAGCTTTAGTGGAATTGAAAGTAGTCGTGTCCAGTTTGTACACCTGAATTGCACAGAATACTATCTACCTGTTAGAGAGCAGCCTGCACTGGAACTTTGAAAAAAAGAACCTCAAGGATAAAAGTCTGCCTTCATGAGACCTTAAACAGCTAAAGACCTAAATTCCAGGAGGACCAAGGCAGAGACATTATCAAGTCTCTTTAAGGAACAGGTGTGACTGGGAAGTGGATTAAGAGAGGTTTCTCTATATAAATATTTCATTAGGAAACAAGATTCTTGGGGAGAAAGCATGTGAATATAGTAAAGGAAGGGAATGTTACCCAATGATCTGCCAGTTTAGTCCGTTTTCCTCAATTTTTGATGTCCTTAGAGTGAGGCCACCGTCATCACCTCTTGCTTGTGTTCTTTCTAATATGCCTCCTGCTCCCATTTTTCTACAGAGCAACCCGAATGTCCTTTCTTTAGAACAAATCTGGTAGTGCCACCCATCTCTAAACTTCTGCAGTGCTTTCCCACTAACCTGAGCCTGAAGCCCAGTCCTTAAAGTGACACACATGTTCTGATATGGCTCCATTCGTCCACTCATTTAGTAAATATTTATTGAGCTTCAATATGTGTCAGACACCAGGGGGTGAGCAGAAATAGACAACTGTCTCGACCCTGGTGGATCAGAGGTGAGATTCATTAGAATCATAAGTAAATTAACACCATGGTAAGTGCCACAAAGGAGAGGCAAGATACTGCAGGGGGTCTGACCTAGTTGGGGAGGATTTTCTGCAACGTGCTTACCTTCCTACATCCAATATTTACCTCTGAACTATCTGCAGTTCCCCAAGGACCTGGGCCCTGCCCTCTTACCTGTGGCCCTTCCACAGCTGTTCGCTCTGCCAGGAAAGCTCCCTCCCTCCTTAACTCACTCTAGTCTTTTCTTAGCATTTCCTATGTGCTGCTGGGTACTGTGATAAAGACTTAACTCCAATTTTCTCTTGCGTTCTTTGCCTTGGTCTTAATTGGTGAAACGACTGTTTTTCTAAACAGGAAACTAAGGTCAGGAAGGTGAAATAACTGTCAGCTCTGTGCCCAGAGATGGTGTGGAATGCGGCCAGGCACCATGCACTGCCAGTCCCCGCACAAGGCAGTCTCCCTCAGGACAGAGTGCAGGGGAGTGAAGGGTACCAGGGCTTGCTGCATCTCGAAAAGTGTTTATGAGGACTCAGAAACTAGTTATGAGGAACCTCTTTAAAAATATAATTTTGTTCATTTCAGGGAGGAAGAGAGAGATAGAAACATCAATGATGAGAGAGAATCATTGATGGGCTGCCTCCAGCACACCCCCCACTGGAGATCAAGCCTGCAAACTGGGCATGTGCCCTGACTGGGAATCGAACCTCAACTTCAATCAGGTCGATGGTAGATTGCTCAAGTCGCTACTAGATTGCTCATGACCTCACCAACCTCTTAGTGCTTAGCCCCCGAACCCAGAACTGGTCTCATTGCCTAACAGTTGCTCAGCAAGTGGCTGATGAATGTGCATCTATCCGCACTACTGAGGCTCCTTCCTCGGGTTATTACCAGAATCGTCCTAGCCTGTCCACTAGATTTGACTGAGACTCCAACCCCGGTCCATTTTCAGGGGTTCACCTAAGCAGGTTGTTTTCACATAGCTTTATCCCCAAAGCTGAAGGATGCAGTGAGGGAAAGGTTATTGTGATTACTTGGTAATTTTTTTAAGGTAAAACTTTGCTTTTAGGAACTTGTGAAGTACTACAGGGGTTCAAGGATGGGTTTCAGATGGTCCATGAATTCCCTGAAACTGCATGCACATTTTTATAGGCAGAGCTTTCCTGAGTTTCAAAGATCCCTGACCTAACAACCTCAGGGGCCTGCCTTAGACCAGGAATCACTTAGAACACTTTTCTTTTAATGTACCTTAGCCAATAACAATAATAAACACCAGCCCAGACATCTCAGTAATAAGGTGATTTAAAACAAAAAAAAATGAACCCACCCAGCCAGCATAGTTCAATGGTTGAGTGTCGAACCAGGAGATCACAGTTCAATTCGTCAGGGTATATGCCCTGGTTTCGGGCTCAATCCCCAATAGGAGGTGTGTAGGAGGAAGCCCATCAATGATTCTCTCTCATCATCAATGTCTCTCTCCTCCTCCTCCCTTCCTCTCTGAAATCAATTAAAAAATATATTTTTAAAAAACACACACACACACAAAAAAGAACCTCCAAATTCTCAGAGTATCTTAACATTAAGTTGTTAATCACAAAAAACTACACACACAGACACAAATAGGTAACACTTGTCCCATTATGAAAGGTAAAGGATCTCACTAAGCAGAACAGAAGATCAAGGACAGAGTGATCAGCTTATGCAAAACCAGACACTAACAGAGCACAACAGGGTGGGGTACTAAGGTAAGGGTGACACTTACAGGATAGGGACTGTTATACAAAATCATATTTAGACCATAATGAAACAATGTACTTTAGAAGAAATACTTTACTTATCCAAAAGTTAGCATACCAGTAAAACCGTTTAATTAGGGGAGGATGAAAACATACATGAACATAGCTGCAAAAATTCTGAAGGTCTTTGTGGGTATTTAGGCGGCCTTTGAGATTATGAGACCTGGTTTTTTAAATGGATCTAAAATTAAGAAAATTCATGTTTTTTCTCTTCCTTGATAGAATTTTACTTGCACAAAATCATGTCTACCAGTCAACATTATGGTCAGGTTTTGACTCCCAAGTAAATTGAGAGGGAGGGAGGCAAACAAGGAGAAACCCAGAGGTGACGGAGGTGGACAATAGCAGGGAATGAGGTTACTGGATGTGTGGAAACAATTAGTACTATTATAACAAGGTGAATTTTATAGTACTATGTGGAAATAATTTCATTCACCAGAATTCCTCTTGTTGGAAGATCCTTCTTGAAATGAAATGTGAGACCTACCCCCCAATATGCTCAGGTACATACAAGTTGGTCACTTAATTGCCTACTAACGAATGTCCCAATGAGTGGATTGTTAACTGAAGGATCTTTTCTTTTGCTGAGCAGTGGGTGTAAGAAGGTAATTGTGCTGAGGGCAGGGCTTGGATATCTGAAGAAAAAAAAAGGGGGAGCCAAGGTGACAGAGCCCTGAGGGAGGACCGAGAAAAACTTCAGTGGTGGTTTGGCCAAGGGACGTCTGAGGTCAAATGTCTCATAGGATGTGAACCCACTTCTCCACCTCTTACGCAACAGCATCTTCAGGAAAGTCATATTCCTCATGGATGTGTTTGTGTGAGGGGATTCTTTGAGGGGGAGCTTGGAGAGGTGCTAGGATCTAAATTAAGGGCTGGTAAGGGTAGAATGTGGAAATAAAATATGCAAACACAGAAATCAGAAGTTAAAGGGATAGGTGACACTGAGGTTTCTTGTGAGAAAGATATGATCTGGGTATAATTCAATTTGAGCTTGAGATTACACTGCACTTGTAATCACCCTACAGAAAGAGATAAGTTAAAGAACTTGTGCTAATTTGACTGTTAGAGGCAGAAGTACCTGATAGGATGTAGAAACTGTGAAATCAACTGTTTATTTGTACAGGCTTTTCTCAAGCCAAGGGTATGAACCTGGGAGATCATATACTGCGGTACAGAACAAATCCACTCGGTGGGGTTTGGCTGTGACCAGTAATTTTCCAAAGTACATGATATAAATCCTTTATATTCAAGTCCATGAAGCAATAATAATACAAAATGTGCGAATGATTTCAAATAAGTCAGTAATAGATCCACTTAGCCACAGCACAGCACAGTGGTTAAGAACACAGACCAGGGTTGGAGTTTGGGCTCTTACCAGCTGTGTGATCATGGGTAAGTTACTTAACATCCCTCCTGCCCCTCCTCATCTTTTAAACTGGAGTGGGACTACCCACATTATTGATGGGTGTGCAACTGTAAACCAACTAAAAAGCATTCAACTCAACACTTAAAACAGGTGAATTTTATGGTATGTAAGGTATGCTCAAAAAGCTGTTTTTAAAAACACTAAGAATACCTAGATCATAGATAACTGTGAAAATAAAAGTGTAAACTGGCATTGTGCCTGGCATATAGGAAACACAATAAATACTAGTGATTAGTATTAGAGTAATAAAGAAAAAATTAAAAATAGAACACTTAAGGTATATAAAGTTCGATTTTAAAAAGAACCAAAGAACTACTGGATTGGTTTAGTTCAACTCCCCTCATTTTAGAGAAAATTAGGAACCAGCAGGTGAAGTGCCTTATTCAAGGTCTAGCTCTAAAGCCAGACCCTAAGACTGCCAGGTCCCCATTAGTGCAATTCCCACTCCCACCCACTGCCTCAGAAACATGGACACGTGAAAAAATGAG